GGGTTCGATTCCGGTCAAGGGCGTGTGCCTGGGTTGCGGGCGCGTCCCCAGTGGGGGATGTGCAGGAGGCAGCTGATCGATGTTTCTCTCTCATCGATGTTTCTGGCTCTCTATCTCTCTCCCTTCCTCTCTGTAGAAAATCAATAAAATATATATAAAAAAATTTTTTTAAAAAAAAACAAACCATGTGAATGGATTACTTAAAGAAAGGTGAAGATCAGTTAATTAAAATGTTCAGAAGCCTTTAAAGATAGGAAAATGTGTTAGTGGAAGGGGAGTGCTAATGATTACCTAATCCAGAATTCCCCACACAGGGCTTGTGCAGGTGGCATGGGCAACCCACATACTTAAAGCAGCACAGGCTTGCTCGTTTCATTGCGCTTTTTTAAAAAATCCTCACCCGAGGAGATAGGTCTTAGCTAATAAAGAGGGAATATGCAAATTGACCGTCACACAGTAATGGAGGCAGGGATTCTGTAACACAAGATGGTTGTGCCCACAGCAGAAGCCGAGTTCCTGTAACGAGCCTTAACGAGCAATCAGCAGGGACCTGAGGCTGTTCTCCCGCCTGGTGGGGCTTGACAAGGGACCTCAGGCCATATCCCCTGCCCTGGCATGGGGCTGGGGGACCTCAGGCTGCACCCCCCACCATGCAGGGCTTGATGGGGGACCTCAGGCTGTGCCCCCCCCTCCCGCCTGGCAGGGCTTCACTGGGGACCTCAGGCCACACCCCCTGGCCTCAGCCAGGGACCTCAAGGCACACCCCTCGGTTTGGGCTGGGGGACCTCAGGCTGTGCCCCCCAACCTGGCAGGGTTTGACAGGGGTGGGGCTGGCCAGGTCTGGATCTAGCCCAATGGGGGTGGCTGGCTGGGTCTGGGTCTCCCGTGATTTCGAGGTACACGTGGGTGGGCAGGGACTTGACTCTGGTTCCCATGGCACGCCTCAGACTCTGACAGGAGCAAGATTTTCATATATATTTTCTTTCATTTCTGACACTTCTATTATACAGAAAGGGCAAATAGCAATATTAAAATATTTCCTCTAATTAGTTCCCTTTTAATGTGCACAAATTTCAAATTCCAGGTCACTAGTATACATATAATTGATTTTTAGAAAGAGGGAGAGAAACATCAGTGTGAGAGAGAAGCATGTATCTGTTGCTTCCTGCATGGACACTGACTGGGGATCAAACCCAAAGCCTAGGTATGTGCCCTGACCAGCAATTGAACCTGCAACCTTTTGGGACAAGGCTCCCACCCAATGGGCCACCCAGCCAGGGCTCATGGTGCTCACAGCACTGCACTTTGCAGATAATTGCCTTTTAAAAAAATTGAATGTTTGGGGGGACCTTGTGTCGAGCAAATTGAAAATCTTCTGGAAAAGATTCACCATTCCAGATGCCATTAAAAACATTCACGATTCATGGGAAGAGGTCAAAATGTCAATTTTTTTTCTCCTTTCCGAATCTTCCTTATTTTAATGATCATGTATTACCTTTACCACCCAAACAAACATAAAATGGTAAGAATTAAAGCCATATGAAGCTTATGAATGATGCTGGTTAAGTACATGTCATTTAGTTTTATTATCTTTTACTTAAATTTTAACTGAAAATCTCAGATATCAGCTCTTGCCGCTATCATTTTTAAAACTCTATTGTTGAAAGTATTACAGATGTCCTCCATTTTCCCCCCTTTGCAAAATGTCAATATTAACAGGAGTTGGAAGAAGTTGACTCCAACCCACGTTGACGCCTCTGAGGGGTTCAAGCCTTGGGTGGAGGGGGTACTGCAGACGTGGTGGAAACAGCAGGAGAACTAGACTAGAGGTGGAGCCTGACGATGGGACTGAATTGCTTCAGTCTCATGACAAAATGGTTGAAGAGTTGCTTCTTATGGGTGAGCAAAGCAAGCGTTTTTTGAGATGGAATCCATTCCCGGTGAAGGTGCTGTGAAGGGTGGTGCAATGACAACAAAGGGCTTAGAACAGCCGTGGGCAAACTACGGCCTGCGGCCTGTTTGAAATGAATAAAACTAAAAAAAAAAAAAAAAGACCGTACCCTTTTATGTAATGATGTTTACTTTGAATTTATATTAGTTCACACAGACACTCCATCCATGCTTTTGTTCCGGCCCTCCGGTCCAGTTTAAGAACCCATCGTGGCCCTCGAGTCAAAAAGTTTGCCCACCCCTGGCTTAGAACATTACATCAACTTAGTTGACAAAGCTGTGGCAGCGTCTGAAGGGATTGGCCTCCATTCTGAAAAAAGCTCTCCTGTGGGGAAATGCTAGCCAACAGCATCACATGCTACAGAGGAGTCGTTTGTGAAAGAAAGTCAGCCGATGCAGCAAACTCCATTGTTGTCTTATTTTAAGACATGTCCATGGCCACCCCAACCTTCAGCAGCCGTCAGCGTGGAGGCGAGACCCTCCACCAGCAAACATTATGAGCGCCGAAGGTTCAGATGATGGGTAGCATTTTGGGCAATATTCTTTTTTTCTCTTATTTTATTTGATTTTTTTTACAATATACAACATAAATCTATTACCAGATTGTAGATACAAAATAATTAGCCATTTACTTGCAATAAACATTAATGTTTCAAGAAAAATGATTTTAAGTGTTACATGCAATAAACAGTAATATTCCAAGAAAAGCAATTTAAATCTATATAAAGGCCTAAGTGACTGAAAGACCAGAACCACCAGTCGCTATGACGCGCACTGACCACCAGGGGGCAGACACTCAATGCAGGAGCTGCCCCCTGGTGGTCAGTGTGCTCCCACAGCAGGTGGGCCG